CCAGACCATGGAGGCAAGACAGTACAAAGCTGGGACCTGACCCTCTGTATATCAGAAGGTGTCCTGTGGACTCTCACATTTGTGTGGGGCCTACCACATGTTCCAGGCGTGGCGGAACACATCTATAATTCCAGCACTGAGGAGGTGGTAAGAGACAGATCCTTAGAGCCCATTGGTGAGCCAGCCTTGTGGAATCAGTGAGCTTCGAGTTCAGTGAGAGACCTTGTTTCAAAAACGGAGCTTGGTAATGATGGAGGTTTCCCAACATTGATCTTTGGCCTCTACACAGAAGCATACATAGATACACATGTACCCAGATACACATGACTACACACCCATATGACCATGAATGCATACATAAACATGTATATACACACACAGTTACACAGAGATCGGGGGAGAAGGAAAGGAAAAGGGAGAGATTATTAAGGACAATCTGATGGCTGGTGGCCCCCACCCTGCACAGCTGGTGTATTGGTGGGGTATCTTGGATTCTCTGCACATAGATTTACAATCCTCTCGCTGTAGAAACTTCAGAGTAGACAGGTAGAGTCATACCGCAGAGGTAGACCTAAAGATACTTCAAACTCTAAATCACACACACGGACCCCACACACTGATTTCAACTTTCTGCTCTAACTAAAGTCACCGATTTTCTTTCCCATTAAGACTATGTATCAAACTTAAACAATCCCCGGAAATATGAATTTTAAGCCTCAATTGGTCTCCAACTTGAAAATTACCAAACATGTTACCACTCAACCTTCTAAAGGTTTTTTTTAAAAAAAAATGAACTGACAGACCAGGGATAAAGCTCGCAGTGTGTAAGCGGGGAAGGAGAGTGACTACATACATGTATACACAGCCTGAAATATCCTACCTCTTAAACACTCTGAAACGCAAATTTCCCACGCACAGCCATGACATTGTGAGCGGAAAATTCTAACCCTGATTCATGACAGGTCACAGCTAAAAGACAGGCACAAATAATGTGCAAAATTACCTTTCAGCCATGGATATAAGCATACATGGCATACAAATGAAGTGTTCAAGCCATGCGTGGTTGCATATAGTTATAAGCCCAGAAGGGTCAAGATTTTGTCACTAGCCTAGGCTACACAGCAAGACCAGAAGGAGCGGGGGAAGGGGGAGGAAGAAAGAAGAAAGAGAGAAAATGAAAATAATTTTGTTTACTTTTTTGTGTTTAATTTTGGGTCCCACCCTTCACCATACCTTGCTATTTACATGCTAATATTTCAAAATATCTTTCAAAATCCAAATTTCGAAACACTCCTTCATACAAAGTGCTTCAGATAATTGATACACAGCCTGTATTTATTATATTATCATTAAATTATATAACTACTTCCGCTTTTATTTATCTATTTTATTTAACATTTCCAGTGTGGTTAAAGCAGATGGCAATATCTGCAGTAAGACATACATTGTTCAAGGATACACACTTCTGTATACACAGTATACAGAAAATACTTTGCTCAGAAAAGACCATTCTGCTGGAAGTGAAGAGGAAGCAAGTCACCCGCCAGATGCTCTTTGTTTTGTTCTCTCGCATGCAAACATTTGGACAGAAAGAAAAGCTTTGCCTTCAACGCCACTGGAACCTTCTTCCAAAGTCCCTGCTGCTGTGTGAAAGAGTCCGGGGTTCTCTGAGAGATGGGAAGAATGAGAGATCCCTGCTGAAAAGTCGCATTTCAAAGGGGTCAGACTGCACAAAAACCCCGTTTACTGGAAGTGTGTAGCGGGCATGGATAATACAAAACTAGATTTCTTAAAGGAAACTTAGTAAGTAACAGTGTATCTGAGGGCACAAGGGATAAATGCTGGGACTACGGAGACTGGCAAGGGGAAAAACAATAAAGGTGTGACATTCACAGGCACAACTTTCATTTCCTCCCAAATCCATTCAAGACCTTCTGCTGGCTGATGTTTTTGACAGTCTCCTCATCCCTCCTACTTTACCTCATCCACGGCTCAGTGCTCTCTGTTTTATATTCCGAGACTACAGTAAAGTCCACGTCTTACTGAGATCCACAGAAAACTCCCGCTACAGAACTCAGCTGTAATCCGCTTCGAGCTAATGCATGAGTTCAGAGGGGCTGAGTGGAGAAGGGGATGCCAGCAAACCTTTGCAGGAATGCCCATCTCACTACCATCCTCTACCAGAGGACACACATACTCTGACCCTGCCTGCGTACAAACCTGGGCACTCCGTCCTTCCTTCTTAAGTGTCCCCAATGCCCATCGGCACAAGCTTTGTACACAAGCGCTGCTCTAAACAGAAAAGACCCACAGTTCAGAAGCTGCGAGAGGAGAAAGCAGCCAGGGGAAGCCGACAGGTACTGGTTAGGGAATACTTTATCCATAACAACTAGTTGGCACCCTTTGCCACCCACCCAGGCCATGACTGTCCACCCTACCCTGCCTGCCACAAAGTGGAACACAAAGATGAGCATCACTGTCCAAACATATGCTTCTGTGGTATTTGCAGAAGCCATCTGGGAAAAAAAAATCACAGCACGTGTGTGTGTGTGTGTGTGTGTGTGTGTGTGAGAGAGAGAGAGAGAGAGAGAGAGAGAGAGAGAGAGAGAGAGAGCGCTCCTGTGCCTGCTGACTTGTGCACATATGTGTGCACAAGTGTGTATCTTACTCCTGAATGCCCTTCTGGAATCCCTCTGCATCATCATGCAGGCAGAAAGCCCAGGCAGGGTCCAGAAATGAACAGCATGTTGCAAGGGGCCTCCGTGGTTGTTAGCAGTCTGTGGTTCTCTCTGCCTGCATCCCAAGCTCCAGCTCTGATGGACTTTGGGAACAGCCTGCCCCCTTCTGGTCTCCTTGAGCTCCACGAAAGGGCAGGGGTTGGGGTGGGCACAGCTTTAGGAGCATAGACCCCCAAGCTTTAGCCATCTTGTGCACAATGCAGCCCCTGGGGATGAACGTGAGCGAGGGGAAAGAGAGCAGAGGGGCAAGCATATGACAGAAAACTCAAGTCCAGGAGCGGCAACAAGACTGGACAGCTGACAACTACCAGGAATGGAAAAGTGAAAGAAAAAAAGAACAAAATGCATATATGTCTACGCGGGGAGGTAAAGAAATGGAGGCACTGGAGGACACAGGCGGGAGGATATATGCAAACCTACGGATAAAAGCGAAATTGTGGACAATCCCAGTAACTCTGCTGCTAGGACTGGGAATCCAAAAACACACTTAAAAGGGGAAGTGGCACCCTGCCACCCACCTTGCCAACTGCAGACCTGATGTGACTGGGCTAGGACAAGAGGGAATAAGACGCCTAGCTGAACACACATGGAGGGTTGCGGATCGCTTCAGAACATCGGGGAGTTATGAAGAAATTGTCAGCTGGCTTCTTTTCTTCCCTTCTCATTTATCTCAACAGGTGGTCTGCGTACCCTGAAAGTGCCTTCTGAACCCCATTTGCAGAAGGCACAGTGAGTCCCATGGTTCCCTCCCGAGCCTGTCTGTTTCCACACTGGGCCAGCAGTACATGCTCACAGTCTCTCTCACCACCCAATAGGTCTCTAATTCCAGAAGGAATATTGTTTCCCCCGGAACACACGATCAACTCTGGGAGTTCAAAGACAGCGAGTGCCTGGGTCCCCTTGGGTACAAACAAGAAAAACTCGGGGACATTGAAAACGCTCTAGTTCTCACCCACAAGCCTCAGTCTGCTCTGCACCACAGGTGAGGGCAAGACTTCTCCCTGGCGGCTACCCAGCAGTCAAATGCCGTCAGATCCAGTCCTGAGACTGCTCCAGTCCACAGGCAACAAGAGCTATGCTCAGGCAATAAGGGTCTAGACAACCACAAAGAACTTGAGCACATCAGAAAGCACTTCTGACATACAGTGTCAAGGTGGTCTTCAAAGAGCTGTTGGAGTGACAAGCAATAACAAGGACTGTTCTCTTCCTACAGATCCTAGAAACACTCCCCTGGTGGCTACTGCCCTTCAGATGCTAGGCAGTTCTCTACAGGGAACTGGGATGATGGACAGACAGTCACATGGCATATCGAGCCAGCTCTCAGACAGTCATTCATTCCCACGAAGAGCAGAGACCCTGTGCCACAGTTAGGGACTCAGTTTCCCTGCCCTCCTGGCTCAGACAAAGGTGAAACAGATACCCCCAAAGAAGTTGGGAACAGGGGAGGAAGACAAGCTGGCGCCCCACCTAGATAACCAGGTAGCCCTAGAAGAACTGTGGGAAACAGTTTCGGAACCCTGACTGTCTACATCCAAGCACACCCAGAGGTGTGATGATAGTGTAGTCAGACAAAAAGACAGTAAGTGCGACGGGTCACCTATGTCAAGTCAGAGACAGCTAGCTGGGACTGACAGGCAGTGCCCCGAAGCAGCGGATTCCGGAGGAGGTGAAGTCAGAAAGGGCAGGTGATGGCAAGGTTAGGGACTGAGGAAGGTGGAGACAGAAGCAGCAGACACCCAGGGAAAACAGGACCCAAAGTCAGATCAGCTACGAGTGACCCAGCGTTGATTTGGGTACCAGGGATATGGCTTGAGTGAGACACTCATTCCAGGTCCCTTCTCAGTCCACTGCAAACAGTTCAGACCAGAGAGGCTGCGTGGAGAACCACCCCTGAGCAGCGGCTGAGGATCGGTCACGATCCGATGCACGCACTCGGGTGGGAGTGAGGCTTCAACACCCCCATCTAGAGAGCAAGTAGGGCACCCAGCAAGAGTGACAGGGAACAGGACCCTCTTGAAAGCGCGTCTCCCCTGGAGCTCACTTTCCAGACCCCAAGGGGGCGGTCCTCGGACTCCGCACGGAGCAGCTCAGCTCAGTGCACGACCCTGCAGCTGCCCAGGGCAGCCAGGGCAACCAGGGCGCAGAGTCCCTTCGGATACCCGGACTAGGGTGGCAAGGACTGGTGGGAGGCGTGGGTAGGGTCTCCAATCTGTCCCTCTCTATCCGCGCGGCTACCGATCCCCTTCTGAAAGGGCACCTTACCCTCGCCCGGGCGGCCAGTGCCCCGCGGCTGCCAGGCTGCTGCGCGCGGGCTCCTCCGGGGCCGCCTCCCCGTGCTCCTCCTCCGCCTGCTCGGCCTCCGGGTCCTCCACGGGCTGCGGGCTGATGGGCAGCAAGGTCCCTGCGCTCCCGGCGAGGGGCCGCGGGCTGCTGCTGTTGCTCGGCTGCTCCCGCCGCTGCCCCCGCGCGCCGCCGCTCGCCAGCTCCGGAGTCCAGGCTGCTGAAATTCCACACCACCAGCGTCTGCAGCAGCAGCACCATGAGCGCCGCCAGCAGCGCCGAGTGCGAGCGCCGCGCCAGCCTCCGGGCGCACGGCGCCGCCACCATCTTCCGCGGCGGCCCGGGGCGAGCGGGGTGCCGGAACACCCCGGTGCGCGCTCTATCCCGGGGGCTCCGCGCTCGGGCCCCGCCGCCGTCGCCCGGGCTCGCCGCTGCTCCTCCTCCTGCTCCTCTCCTCCACCACCTCCACCTCCCTTTCCTCTTCTGCCGCCGCCGCCGCCTCCACCGCCGCGGCGCGGAGTTTTCAGACGGGCAGGGACCCGGACGTCACCAGGAGGAGGGGAAGGCGGGAGGCGGGCGCGGGGAGGCCGCGGAGGGGGCGCGGCGCGCGCGCGGGGACACGACGAGAGGAGGGAGCTAGCCCTGCGCGATTCTCCTTCTCTCCGGCCAGGGTTCCCACCTCACCCCCCGGCTTCTGAGGCGGGCGTTCGGGTGACCAGGCCTGGGGAAGGGGCCATCAGGGACCCGGGCCTTGAGCAGAGGGCGGGGCCTGGAGGAGGAGCCGAGGGCAGCGTGGGGAGGAGAAGGTGAGGGAGGGGGCCGGAGCGAGAGAAGCAGACAGACACCCCCAAAACGGCGTGGGAAAAAGGTAGGGGTGCGGAAAGGTCAGTGCTTTGGATTGAGACGGGGAGAGTGGGAAACAGACGAGCCAATGGGGCAGCTCGGTTTGCGGAGATTAGGAAAAAAGAGAGAGGGATCCTGAGACCCTGTGTTCCATGTGGCAGAAAACTAGAGGCAGAGTTGTAGGAGGCGCGGAGTTTTCCGTCCCGGGATCTTCGGTTACACTGAGAAAACCTTGGCAGGTGGAGATGGAAGGAAACGTGGGAGTGTCACAGGTCCGGGCTCTTGCAGCCCGGGATTCCTGGATCACGGAGTGAAGCGATGGGGAGGAGTTTCTCAATGACTCTCTGAGGTTAATCAGCAGAAGCTTTGTGACTTCTGAGTCACCCCCCCCCCTCCAGGGCCAACCGAAGATGCAGGGCTCGCTGACTCACTTCTCCGGTCCCCAAGGACTCACACTCCAACATCCACTAAATCCAGTTGGCAAGTGGATGCTTTGGTGGCTAAAGGAGTTTCCCAGCCCTCCCTAGCCATAAGCTGACAGTGCCTGCCCAACAACAGAGTCTCCCTTCGTGCCCTGCTTTCCATCCAGCCAGTCCTGATGTCTGACTCTCTGTGTGTACTAAGTTCAGATTTGGGAGAGTCCAGCCTTGCTATGTAAGGAGAAGCACTTTTCTCCAGTTCTGGTTGGTGACCTTGAACCTCCAAGACTACCCCTTGACCTTGTCCTGTGCTCTCTCCTCTACCAATGAGAGTTTGGAAGGAATGCTCTCTCTGAACTCAAATTTCCCCCAGCCCTCTCTGATTCAGTCTTAGTGCCTTTTCCTTTTGATGCGTAGCAAGCAACTTTGACTGTCTGCACAAGGAGGGGACTGATGTCTCTGTCGCTGAGTTGGGAATTTACAGTGAATTCTTGACTTTTTGCCTCTTGCCTTTTTGCACAGCATCCTGGTTTTTATAAGGAAGAGAGTGGCTGTGTACAAAGTCTGTCAGGGAATGAGGCTAACAGTGGCAGGAAATGGACCCTTCGGTCCACTGCACCGATATACCAGAGCACTGACCTGTGTCAGATGTGGGGTCAGTTACAAGGATTCCAAGGTGAGTGAGGAGGACCCTTACCTACAGCAAGTTTGAAGGCCAGAGGAGCCAGATGTAGGCATGGACTCTCAAAAGGAAATATGGTCACCATCACTACCAAGACTTGCAAAGGGGCCATGACTTCATGAGAGCGCTTCTGGAATAGCGTGTGTCCTTGGCCAACCTGCTACCCCGACGGCCTGAAGTCCCGTCCATGTCCACCTTCCAGCTCTGCAGCCGGGCACAAAGGCATTCCCACTGTATGGGAGAGCAGCTCCCTAGCTCACCAGCCTCCTCTTAATCTGCTTATCGGCTGGGAATATTTATAGTTCATGAAATAAAACACCTGGTTTAACAATCTAAAAATAAACCTTACAGGATCATATAACTAGATATTTCGGAGGACCGACTACAGGCCTGGCTTGATCCAGCAACCCAGAAACTACTCCTGCAGAATTTTCTTTCCCTTCCTCCTCTCTCTATCTTACACCGGGTCTGTTCACACTGGAGCATCACAAGAGGCCTGGCTTCTGTGGCTGAGACTAGTTGTAACTTTAGTTCATTTCTAGACCAGGATTCTCTCTGAAGATGCAGAGAGATTTTATTTTTCTCTCATGGAGTCGTCTCTCTGTCCTAAGCTACCCCTAAGCCAGTCACAGAGCCCAGGAAGTCAGACCATGGGGATGACCATAACCAGGGTCCCGTGATTCACCTCTAGCCTTGGGGTAGTGCATGCTAGCATCTCTGTAACCACTCAGCTGCTCCATAGCTCCGGGTGGATGGGTGCCAGTAGGTGCGGAAGAGCGGCCTCCCTCTTGGCTCCATGCACTCCCCATGGAGCCTGTCCCATACTGGTCCAGTCACCTCCCCTCCCCAGACTTCAGGTTTCTTCGTTCTGAGTGAGTGGACAGAGGAGATGTAAACACAGCTTTCCAAACCCTACACTGGCTGGTGGTATGGAGTATTCCAGCCCTCCGCCCACCTTTGTTCTAAGATCTCTACTGCATTTGCCTGTAAGGCCGCATTGACCTAGGCTTCCTCCAGGTGACACAATTAACTGGAGTCCTCCAGGGCCCAGGCTCTGACTCAACTCCCTCAGGGCCCCAGTGCTTCAGCACTGAGGTTAAAGATCCTGGGCCTAAAGCCCAGGAGAAACACAGATGTTTATCTTGACTCATAAAAAGCCACATAAGAAAGAGGTCCAGTCGCCCTGGGTGAGTAGGTTTGGAGATGCCATAAACAACTGATTTGATGGGCTTCTGGTGAAAATTTACCTGAGGTGGCATCTGGGTCCGAGATAACACTTCAAACACTTTAGAGCAAATGAGGAGGTAGAGATGGAAGAGAAGCTGAGAGCTGGGGTGAGTTGGGGTATCTAAAATGTCCATCTCAGTATGGCAGACAGTCAGCTGGGAGATCCAGAAGGTGGGTACCCTAAGTTTGCTGAACCTCACCAAACAGAAGAAGCTTCTTTGCACTGAGAGAGAGAATTCTTTCCATTTTCCAGTTACTCATAAAGAGGAATGTGGGTCTGGTTGATCAGGCAGAGGCCGGGATCCTGCTTGAGACTCAGCAGTGGCTCCAGCCGCTGTATCCAGAGTCCTTGGGGTTTTCAGTCTCCGTTTTTCATTCCACCAAGATGCATGGGACCCTATTACATGCAGGCATCCTGCTGGGCTAGCGAAATCTGGGGATGACGAAGATTCCCCAAGGAACCTTTCTTTTTAAATATGGTTCTTACGCTCCCACGCTATGGCTCCCAGGAGCCAGAGCTCTGAAGAAGTTCGCCTGATTTGTGGAATTCCCACCACCACCCCAACTGCCAAATCTTACTTCTCCATCACTTTCCAGGATGGAAGGCTGAATTAGCCAGAGAGTATTCTGAGTTATTGGGTCTGCCTAAGCCTAAGCTATTGATTGCAAAGGGAATGTTTAGGACAGTCTTGGCCCTCAAGGGACTATCCCACAGGACAGAGGGACATGACAAGTGATTGACAGCAGTTCCAGTGTGAGTGCACGGAATGAATGCAACAGATGAGAACTAGGTTGTTTAATGAGTGCATGTGCACATGTATGTGTATGTTTGTGCATGCGAAGGCCAGAGGCAACCTCAGGGGTGGCTTTAGGGTTTGTTTATTTGGTTGTTGTTTTCTTATCTTGTTTGGGGGTCTGGAAATTAAAAGGAAATAAAGGCTAAACTGCCAGGAATGAACTGTCTCCAGATCCTCAGGGCTTGGATGGCAAACATTTGCTATCACAACCGACTTTTTAATGTGGATCCCGGAGAGCGAGCTCCCTTACTGAGTGACTATCTCCCTGCTCCCTCTGCTGTGTTCTAAGTTAAGGATCCTTTGTTAATTTCTATGCCTCGGTTTCCTCACCCATAAAATTGGGCTTCACATAACAGGATCTTTGTTGGCACTTTCTCATAAGGATTAAATGAGATAACTAATACAAGTAATTTTTTTCATTCAGACTGACATATAAAGCCAACCTTGTGGGCACACACACACACACTTGAAAAATGGAGGCAAGAGAATTACAATTTGAGGCCAGCCTAGAGTACACAGCAAGCCCCTAATGTGCCCATGTTAAGTAGCCAAAAGCATCAGAGAGAGGAGAGGTTTGGTCACAGAAGGGTGCCTGGAGTAGGCTGTGTAACACCAGGACTTTGAACTCCAGTTTCTCTAAGGGCAGATTCTGGCGTCATTTCTTTACCTCTGCTGTCTCTGCCACTTACCACAGTGCAAGACAGTGAGTGAAATCGGCATGTGGACTGAACATCCATCAATTACAGGGTTGGGGACAGGTACAATGAACCAGGGACATTCTTCCATCATGATGCAGGTTTGCATTTGGAGCCTGGTACAGACCCAGGTTCAAATACCATCTCAGCAATGTTTTCACTTCATGATCTGTAAGCACGTTGCTAAGTAGAAAAGGTAAAAGAAGACTCCTGTCTCCCCGGAGTTTCACGGGAAGTGGCGGCATTAGCCAATGGAGAGTGGAAAGGCTATCAGCTCGGTCACAACCTGATCGCCAGGTAGAGAAATTTCCTGTCCTTTCCAAATGTTCCTGCCAAGGGTTCCTGTGAACTGGGGCTTTGCCTGCCTCCTGAATTTAAATAGACTTCAGACTAACATTCAAATTTACAGAGGTATATGGTTTCCGTTTTCATCGCAATCACGTCTGTTTCTTGTTTTTATAGTCATTTTTTACCCAAATGTTACCAATTGACCCGACTTTGCTCTTCAGAAGAATTTTTTAAACTCCTCCTGAGTTTCACTTCTGCATCAAACACAGACATCGGGAAGCAGGTGGTTCACCTGCTTCTGCTTGATGGTGCGAGATTCTGGCACAGAACGCCTCCAACCGCAAAATCCCTGTTTCCAGCAGAAGCTCACAATCCCAAAAGCCAGCGGGGGGCGGGGGGGAGCAGTCTGGGCGGAAGGGTCAGAAAAGCCCCTACAGAGTGTGGGCTGTGGGTAAATGTTCTCCGTCTTTGACCCTATCCCACCC